AGAGAGACACTACTATATTAGAAAGAAATCACTTTCCATTTTTTATTTTAAAATAATTTTAAAACTCCAAATTGAAACCATACCCCAATTTGAATATGCAATTTTTTATTTCTTTATTTTAGTTTTTTATTTTAAAACTCGAAATTGAAACTATTCCCCAACTTGAATAGGTAGGTTTTTTTTAATTAATATTTTCATTTTTTTATTGTGCTAATTTAAATTTTTATTATTTTTCATTTTTTTATTTTGAAATAACTTTGAAACACCAACTATAAACTACTCCCCAATTTGAATGAGTAGTTATTTTTTTTCATATTTTCGTTTTTTAATATAGCTAATAATAATATATTTATATTTATTAATTTATTTTAAAATAACTTTGAAACACCAACTATAAACTACTCCCCAATTTGAATGAGTAGTTATTTTTTGTATATTTTTGTTTTTTAATATAGCTAATAATAATAATATATTTATGTTTATTAATTCAAAAAGAGTAACTAATTAATTCAAAATTCTAAAAAGCTTTTTAGTTAAAAAGGTAGTTTTTTAGTTCATTTATGACTATTTGTTTATTATGATTTTAGTTATGTGTATATATACGACTTTTCTCATAATAATTTTAACTATTTTTATAAGTCTTATAATTCTATTTGTTTCTTGGTTATCTAATTGTATTATCCATTACTTAATATTGTTAAATTGAAATACGAATTATTAATAAATTACCAATTTAGTATAAACTACTCCCTTATAAATATACACACACTACTACTACTACTATATTAGGAAGAAATTACTCTCCAATTTGAATTGGTATCTTTTGATTTTTTGTTTTTTTATTGTAAAATAATTATAAAACTCCAATTTGAATGAGTAAAATTTTTTTTTGTTTGTATTTTTCGTTTTTAGATAATTATATGATATTTATATTTGTTAATTCAAGTAGTGTAACCAACTAATTCAAAATTTAAAATTCAAAAAAAAAAAAGTTAGAAAAGTAGTTTATTTTGTCTTAACAATGTCACTTGACTTTTTGTAATTAAGACACTTATCTTAATGTAGTGCTTTTGCTTCTCCTATTCTATACAAATAGATTATCAGGAACCTCGATAACAACCAAACCATCGTAACAACAATGGATTCCGCATCGCCATGGTTTATGGTTTGAAGGGCAATCAAGTTTTTGTACATCCTTAAGCGGTTGAACTGATGATAAAGGAACACAATACATGGAAAATATGTTATCCTTAGGGCACAAATGGTTAATAAGAAATTTCTGGGAATCTTGGTCATTCTTGGCATGATTGAGATGCTTCATCTTAAAGTAAGGCTCCAAGATCAATGTATTCCAAAATTTCGAAACGCATTTGAATCAAAGAAGAGACTGCACAGGTAGCCTACTGAGGATGTCCATAAGTACTTCCTCTTGGACGTGAGTTGCCGTGGCCTGTATAGGACAAAAAAGAGCAATCAGACAATATTCAACTAATAATAAAGTTGAATATTTGAAGTGGAGAAAATTGATATTACTCCGCAATTGGCAGTGGCACCAAATAAGCAACAGATGAGCGATGTACTTGAAGAATTTCACTCATGTTTTATGGTGTCCAGTTTAACAAGATAACTCGGTGATGGCAAACAATTGGTGTGAAAATAAAAGGCATAAAGTTTTATGCCTTCACCGAGTTATCTTGTCAAACTGGACTCCACGAGATTGGCGTGAGAATAAAAGGCATAAATTTCGCATTGTTTTTTAGCGTGACATTATTAGTGTGACAAGGTGGGTTGCTCTGATGGTAAGCACCCTCCACTTCCAACCAAGAGATTGTGAGTTCGAGGCACCCCAAGAGCAAGGTGTTGGGTTCTTGAAAGGAAGGATGCCGAGGGTATATTGGAAACAGCCTCTCTACCCTAGGTAAGGGGTAAGGTCTGCGTACATACTACTCTCCCCAGACCCCGCTCGTAGGATTACATTACACACTACCCTCCCCAGACCCTACTGGTGGGATTAAAATATTGTCTTTAATGTTGTTAATCATAACCTGGGAAAATGTCTATTTCCCAACAAACAACAATTTAAAAACTCAATGGTAAGTAGGCAATACCACCCAGAATTCAGAACTCGAACTCACCAGATCAACGTCCCTTCGATATGTGTCATCATTTGACGGCTCCACAATGTTCTTCCCTGATTTAATTTAAAAATTGCGGTTGGTTATAAAGCATAAAGTTAGGAGGTAGCTGGTGAAATAGTCGCAGAAGCAGAAAGAGATACCTTTGGAGATGTGATTGAACTTTTGGGTCGTATCTTCTCCATTGCTAATAATAATTTGATTGAAAAGATTAGTTTTTTTTTGTATTTGCGACGGATTTCTTCTTCGCCTTTTGTATCTTTGGTGCAGAAATATTATTTGCTAATTTTACCCTATTCCTCTTCTTCTTCTTCATCTTTCTTTGAACGTTAGGGCTTCTCCTATTGCTAACATTTGATTGAAAAGATTATTTTCAGTTCATGTTGGTGAAAATCTGAGACCTAAATCTCTACAACAACTGCTACAAACATGAGTGAATATTTTTTTAGTATTTAGTAAGAGACTAGAAAATATTTGGTTTTCTCACCCCTCCCCAAAGTTTTCTGTGCTCCCTTCCCAAAAAAAAATCCAACATTTTTAGGACTTTATTTTTTAAAAGATTTAATTTTTTTTTAAATCACACATAAATTTGAGCTTCACAACTGAAATAGAAAATACTCCCTGTTGTTGAAAAGACACTAAATATTACTCATATTTTAAATCTATAATTCCAAAAGCATAGTAAATATAGGGTGTGTTTGGTATAAAGAAAAATGTTTTCCAAGAAAATTATTCAACAAGGAATTTGATTCAAAAAGCCTTTTATGTATGTGAAATAAAAAGAGGTGGATACTATTGAAAGAAAAACTAGAAAAGGCAAATGGGACAGTCAGTTTTGGTGAATACATTTAGGAACCAAAAATTAGCAAGCAATAGATAAACTTATCATAATTAATAAGAGGTTATTACATGATCTTCTGGAAGAGAAAAAAGCATCTCAAGCATACCATATGCAAACATTAAATAAGTAATTTCGGAGAGATCAAGCTCTCTGTATAAGCCATTCCTTGCTTCTTGGTAGGAGAACATTGAGGCCATAATTTAAATGATTCTCTGGATGTCCTATATACAGAACCAGTTAGTCTCGTATGTTTGCAGCATAATAGCACTGCACCATCCACAAACATATATTTCGGTTTGACTGAATAAACAAGATTAGTATCTTGTATTTTAAGAAATGGAACCCAAGATTCCTTGATCCCATAGTCTTTCATTACCCATAAATTAAAAGTACCCGGCCCCAAATTATGATATGTAGAATAAAAGCATAGCATTCCTCCCAATACTGAAACGCCACGCTCGATGAAACGCTGGTTGAATATGTTGTACATTCGCTCTAGCAACGGTATTTCTCCGTATACTTCATTTGAAATATCAAATGAGAGGATAGTATAATATAGTGACAAACCAAGCCAATGAAATGCTCCATGTACAAATGCCAAAGAATCTGTACCACAGTCCATAAAACCACACACATCATGACTGCCAGTAGGATATTTACCATTTTTTCTCCAGGAACCACTTTTTAGAGCAAGAATTTCAGCGGATATTCCGGGGCGAATTCTATTCAGGTTAACAGTAAGGATCTTATAGTCATCACTAGTTGCATCATATCCCATTCCGAAAACACAATCTATCAATGGAGATTCTGGATGAGGAAGTAGTATGGATTCTCTTGTGGAGGGGTTCCACAGTAAAAGGTGTTCAACAAGTCTATCACAAACTGCGAGAAGAACGAGCCCATCACAACAACAAAACAACATGCAATTCACTGGCTTGCAGCTTGAAGGGCAATCAAGTTTTTGTTCATCCTCAACCACTTGAACTGACGATAAAGAAGAACGATAGAAGTTAAACATATCATCCTTATCCATGCACATTTGGCTCGTAAGAAATTTTTGGGAATTTTGGTCATTCTTTGCATGACTTAGATGCTTCATCTTAAAGTAACAATCAGAGATAAATGCCTTCCAAAATTTTGATACACATTTGAATTGAAGAAGAGACAGCACGGGTAACCTGCTGAGGATCTCCATAATTATATCCACTTGGAAGTGAATTCCCACGGCCTAGAGAGGACAAGGATAATGCCTTAGTAGTTCACTAGTTGAAGATGTTAAATCACATATACATGAAAATTAAGAACAAATATCAAAGAAAAAAGCTACAGAAACTAGGGTTCAAATCTAACTTTTGAGAATTAGTTCAAATCAAATTTTCAAGCACAACCTGTACAATTTACCTTGATTTGGTTGAGAAAACAACACAATTTGGAACCGCTGTTGTTCCAAAAAAAGAATACTTGTGGAGTTTTAAAGAATAATCTGGTGATTGTGTTTTATAAGTAGTACTATCATTTGTAACTTAGTCGAAGGACGAAAAGAATTTAAAGTCCTTGAAGAAATAAAATGAGGTTCCTTAAGGGCATGCTCCTTTAGTCCACATCGTAGAAGGAAGCAGGAGTTTGACGTTCGATACAACAACAACTATGGGGAGGGTAGTCCCATCATAAATGGGGTATGGGAGGGTAGTTTGACGTTCGATACATAACTATGATTTGTTTTATTCTAAGGACAAGTACTTCCTTGAGTGATTGTTCAGAAACTCATATGCAATCGTTAAGAAGCAGTAAATGTAAATTAGGTAGTTTCCACCAACAAGTCTGCAAAATTGTTGGATCCCTTCAAAACCAGGACAAGAAAGGGGGAAGTGGGAGCGAAAATTGACAGTCTTATGAATCCTTAAACTACGTCCTGTAGAAACTAGGGTTCAGGACATCTAAGACAAGGATTTCTGAGGAGTTTTGATGAATGTAATGAAAAAACAACAATAAAGCAGTCTTTTTTTCCTTTGAGAGAATATATGGAATTGGCATCGTTAGCTAGCCATAATATCCTTGAAAAATGTTACTAGTATCTCAATGTTAATTGTGTAATTAAAAAACTGAATTGCAAGTAGGTAACACCATGAGCTTACCTGCTCCGTAGTATTAGCAGACACGCTCTTCCCTGTAAATAGTTTTAATAGAATTGTGGATGGTTAAGCGCACAGAACTGTGGAGGGTAGCAGGTATTCAAGTGGAATAAAGAAGAGTGGATACCTTTGCAAATTTTTACTGATTTTTTCTTCTTATTCTTCTTCTGTTGGGTCCATTCTTCTCCATTGCTAATCTGATGGAAATTTTTGGGAATTTTGGTTATTCTTTGCATGACTTAGATGCTTCATCTTAAAGTAACAATCAGAGATTAATGCCTTCCAAAATTTTGAAACACATATGAATTGAAGAAGAGACAGCACGGTTAACCTGCTGAGGAACTCCATAATTATACCCTCTTGGAAGTGAATTCCTTCCCACGGCCTAGAGAGGACAAGGATAATGCCTTAGTAGTCCACTAGTTGAAGATGTTAAATCACATATACATGAAAATTAAGAACAAATATCAAAGAAAAAAGCTACAGAAACTAACTTTTAGTATAAAAAAATCCTGAATCCGCCTCCGAAACCCGACGCTCTCTCCTCTCTCCTCTCTCTCTTGCGACATGGTGAACTAGGGCAGCCATGGACGTGCAGGCCTCTCCCCAGCTTCAAGCTGTGGGAGAGACGGATCCCAGCTCTAAAATGCATACTTATGCTTCATTACTCACGTCAAAATCACAACCAGTAACCAAAACAATCCTTAAACCTGTCCAACAAGTTCATGGACAGCTTATGATTCAATTTTCATTTAAGGAACTGGAGGAATATCCAGTTCAAGAAGGTCTTCACCAAGCTGTGGTGATGAAGCTCCCATATGGTGCGCCAGACTTGCCGGAACTTCGAAATATGATTCCAGCACAAGTTGGGATTAAAGGTCGCTTCTTGATAGGTTTGCTCGCGTTTCGGCAACTGTTGATCCGTTGTGACGCATATGAGGATTTTGTAACAGTTGTCTCAAAGCATGTTGGTTATTTGCAGTACAAAGTACAACATCATCAATATCGTACATTCCCATGGACTCAAGATTACAATCCTAAGGTGGAGACGTCAAAAACAGCGGCATGGGTGTCGTTTCCAGATTTGCCGACGAACCTGTTCGCCAAGAAACCTTTACTGTCAATCGCATCAGCTGTGGGCAAACCTATTGCCATAGACAAGGCCACACAAGCTAGGACAAGACCTAGCACAACTAGAGTTAAGGTAGTTCTTGATCTCCTTGACAAACATCCCAAAAATATGAAGTTACAATTTATCGACGAGAAATCTGGTAAGGTTTTTGAGCATATACAGGAGTTTGTATTTGATAATCTTCCATCATATTGTAATGTGTGCAAACGACAAGGACATGCTGGTGAAGATTGTCGTTCATTGATTAAAAGGAATAGGGGGAATGATGATATGCAACAGGAGGAAAATTTGATCGATAGCACTGTCGATAAGGAACGTGTTCTGCCTGCTGAAGTTTTGGCTTTCGCTGAGGAGATGAGCACGGTGGAAAAATTACACGGGGATGCTAGGGACTATTTAAATGCTAAGTTGCAACAAAAAACTAATGCATCAAGTTGAGCCGATATTCCAGTTGATCGATCTCTAGCTAGAGTTGCCAATGCACTTAATTTGGTTAGGGAAAGAGCGATGACGAAGGGGACTGATCAGGTTGTTAATGCTGGGAATGTGGATGAAGGAGTTGTTGAGAATCAAGTGGAACATGTCGTTTCTAAGAATGCCGCAGCTGATCGAGTTGCTGTCTCAAATACTAAGGGAGCTGGTGAACAAATATATGCTGTTAAATCGCAACACATAGCAGATGTTGATGGTGCTGTGATAGCTCCAGTTGCAGCAGCTCTTAATAGTGTTGCTAAAGATATGGAGGCTGCTACAGGTCCTGTATTTGATCGAGGTTTAGCTGGTGTTCATAAGGGTCCAGGTGCTGGGCGAAAAATTGCTGAAGCTGGGCATCTAACAGTTAAAGGACATGGACAAACTAGCGTGCAAAAGTTAACAGAAGGGAAGGAGATAGGAGCTGGGCAGGCCATTGGAGTTTTGGCTATAAAAGACGGGCAATTTACTGCTGATTCTCATAAAGAACCAGCCCCACAGGTTATTAAACCCTCAAAAGATCAAGCTTGGTCAGTGGTAAATTGTTCACCAAGCAAAACTAATTCTACAAACCTTAAAAATCAGAGGATAGCAGAGAAGAACATTGAGGTCTCTAACTCTTTTGATGCACTGATTAATGAGCATGATTGTGCAATGAAGAAGGCTGGGAAGGATTTGCAACAGATGGAGGATGAGGCAGGATCCGTAACTGGAAAAACCAGCTCTCCAGGTAGTGAAAAACAGCAGAAAAATTCAAATAACATAGGTGCGCGACTCGAGATCGTAATTGTTGAGGATCACGCTGATGAGGCAAGTCAAATACCTGCTGCAACTACACCAAAGCTTCATATTTCCAATCCGGAGCTAGATAAAATGGTAAAGGATGCCGAGGCAGCTATGATAATGAACACAACTCCAAAAAATAGGCAACCACAATCTTCCAAGAACACAAGTGGTCGACTAATTGTTCCGAAGGACATTGTTCCTGTTGATGCGCAAAACGTCGAGGCAGTTCAATTGGCTACTGCAACCACAATGTCCAGTACTCCAAAGCAACATATTTCTAGTCCGGAAGTAGCAAAAATCATTAAAGAGACTCAGACGACTATGATGATGAGTGCAAATCCTATGATCAGGCAACCACTGGTCGCTTTGAACACATCGGTGCAGGATTTCCCTTCTCAATCGATAGAATCATTTGGTGAGCATGGTGGTGAATCCGAGCAGTTGATGTTGTCCACGGGAAACAACAACGAAATCATTCAAGCAAATGTGAGGGAGATGGCTAGTAAGTCCAAACTTTGGGCTGACCAACGTGAGGAGGATGAAGACGAGGACTGGGGTGATGAATTTGCCGATGACTCAACTGAAGTTGCTGATCAAGAAAGTGCAGAGGAGGACGCTGCTTCACCACACTACTAAAACTAAAAAATGCAGTAGCAGCAGAGGAAGATGGTGCCTCACCAGCGCTACTAAAAACAGAAAATGCAGCAGTAGCAAATAGCAAAAGCAAACTGAACCTGAACGCGCCAGTTTTTATTCCTAGAAACTTTTCAGCAGTTGCTACAAGAGATGCAGTAACACATACAACAATAGTTGAACAGACGCAACTTGGTACAAACAGTCCACAACAGATTACAAGCAGTTCAGATGCTGCAGTAACACCTCAAAAAACTGGACATCAGCAGAAGGATATAGTTTCACCAGTTATTTCGTTGGAGGACAGAAAATTATTGGATGCTATGGTAAGCTCTAAGCCTCTACACTCGATAATTTCAATTCAAGCTGTTAGCACTGGAAATATGGTTAAGAACAGGAGCAACAGGCAAAGCACAGAACAACATCAAAATGCAACAGCTTTGGCGAAAACACAACATGGAACTGCCCTGGTGACACATGATCTCTTCCAAAATGCTCCACATCCAATAAATGTAGGAAGAGATCTGTATGAGGAAGGTGAGGAAGATGAAATTTTAAATCAATGCCGGGCAGTGGCAGCAAGAAGAGGTGATTTATCACCGATGCACAGCGGAAAAAATAAGAAGTCTCATATGAGAAAAAAAAGTTGGGACGGCAAGGTGAATGAAGAAGCAAACATTAGGATACTCCCAATGAGAGCTGCCAAACAAAAACAGGTTGCCCCAACTACATCTACAAAATCCAACCGTTCCAAAAAGAAAGAATGAAATTTGAAGAGAGTTGATGAAGAAGACAAAATTACAAATTGAAGAAGTTACAAGCTTGGGAAAAAAGAGACAAGGATTTAATCCATACTACATTTTATTCTATCATTTTATAGCATAGTCATTTGTAATATCATCACAGAGTATGTTATAAACTCTGTGATGATCATAGAATATTTAGTACTTTCTAGTTACATGCATGTTAGTAGGTGAGGCTATTTTATGCCTCGTTAGGATTAGTAAGGTAAGGTTTAGCCCAGTAGTTGTTTGCTCATGT